ATCCAAGCCTTTGCTCGCGAATCTCGGAGTGGAGTTTCAGTGTGAATTCTGGAGCCGTATGCGGATGATCCGCACCTGTTGCATGATGCAACTTGCAATTAGTTGAAATCAGAATCACCCTGATAAAACAGGTGAGTCAGAGTATTTACTCAGAATCTGAGTCTCAGATGAAAAAATCAGATGGTGAGTATTAACCCCTGATTCACTGATTTTCTACTCTGGAGCGAGAAATCAGTATCATCGCGATGATGTGTGAATCTCCGAGCTCATTTGAGAATTTAAAGTTGATTTTTTGGCTGATTGATACTCTTACTCAATATGCGTTGCTCATGAGGCTGATCTCTCGCGTGATTCCATAATGGAATTTCCATTGAATCTGAGTATTTTCGAAGACCTGATCTTCTAGATCAGGGAATCACAGTTTGAATCAGACATTTTTGACAAGACGAAACTCTAGTCACTACGCCCCACAGCCGAAAGTGACAATTTAAAGGAAGAAAGAAGACTTCAGTCTGTGAGGGTAGATCCTGGAAGATTCGCCCTGAATACATGAACATTTCCCGTTAGTAACGGGCCGTTACACTACAGTAATAACAAAACCTATTCCATTCCCGGGCACGGTCGTCATAAGACTCTTATAACGTATTGGCAAGAAGAAGACCTATGAACCTATGGCGGTTCATAAAGGCTCTTATGATAAGAGCCTATATGAACCACGTACGCATTACCTCCTTGCACCGTCTTATGTGAAGGTTTCGTTAGAAAGCAAGTTCAAGCGAGTGCACGAAATGAAAAATATGTTGATGTAATACACCAACTCATTGCTTATAATACACCAGATATATTCTCATGTTATCGATCGAACCGTAGGTCGTGCGACCGAGATGGTTTCATCCATGAACCAGTGTCGTTCCTTCCTCTTTTTGAGTCTTGTCCCAAGTTGGTTGGGGGGCACTAACATATGTCAGAAAACGGGCCATATTCCGAGAGATCGAACCTGCGCACAGGATTTTGCGCAGATCGTCATTGATCCTGTGATCGATTCAGAATCAGCAATTCTCGAGCATCGGCAAGGTGAGTTGCCAGAGCTCAATTCAGCTTTTTGCCTTCCAACGTATACCCCTTCTCTTGCAAGTCTTCTTGGTGTACTGGCCTTAGTGCCCGCTGTTGCCTTCGCGAAATAAACGAGGCTTGTCGCTTTCGAGTGCATTCGCGACAAACAGGGTACTCAGTGCCTTTTTTTACTGACTTCTAGGCTAATAAGAGGCTTAGCGCCGTCGACCTGCCTTCTCGGCAAATGAGAGGCTTAGCGCCCTCGAGCGGCCTCCTTGAATAACAAGGGTACGAAGCGGGCGCTTCGTGAGCAACTTTTCGGGGTGCCAGTGATTGCAACGCGGAAGGCGCGTCTCAAGAAATCGACGAAAGTGCGCTCTAACAAATCGATTATCAGGGCGCGCGCTAATGTGCGTGCAAGCGCGCCTCGTGAAATGGACATTCCAATCGTTTGAAGTGAAGGCGGCGTGTGAGAAGCATCAGAGAAAAAGAATTCGAAAATGCGCACCTACTTCAGCCACCTTGTGAAAAAAAACGGAGCGTAGCGGCTATAGGCTTCAAGCCTATCGTGCGAACGCCTAACGACGCCCGCCGAAAATCCCGAGGAAACCAATCTTGACCGATTTCTCCTCGGTATGGGAGTGAATAAGGCTGAAAGCTCGGGCATATACGTATTCGAGTATGGGGAGTCCGAATCTGTGACTGAAATTAACTCAAGAGATTCGGATGATATCAAACACGCAAAACCTGCCAGACAGGGTAATTCCTATAACTTTTTATTCCAAAAAGTTGATAAGAGACCTAGCGTCCTTAAGTGCCTTCTCGAGCGATAGGAGGCTTCGCGCCCTCAAATGCCTTAGCGGCTAATAAGAGGCTTCGTGCCTCATAATGACTTTGAAGCTCATGGCGAGCTTGGTGACTAGTTGATACTTTACTTGGCGACTCGCAATGAGCGTATTGCTTTCATTGCCTTCTCGGCTTACCAGGGGCTTAGGAATGGGTTCAATCCTCCAGATGTTCCCACTGCCTTGTGTGTAGTGTATATTCCTAACTTAGGAATCCTAAGGGGTCGAATGCCTCTGCGAGGCATCATATTTTTTCGACAGTTGCCACTTCACAGCTTTATCTCTCAGTGACCAAGCCCTCTACCGGGAAGTCAGCTAGTGTTAAATCTCTCCTGGAAGTACCCAGCCTCCACAAACCGGCCGAGTCGAGCTCTCTGATCCAGAGTGGATTCCTGAGACTCTGGACGAATTTCCCAGGGCAGTCGAGACTGCCGAGTCGAACAGGTCTCCCGAGGACGGGATCACAGGAGAGGAACTCGTCGAGTGTGATGGGTAATACAAACAGTTCTTCGAGGTGCTTCCTTAGCAATTTTCTGCTCAGGCAAATGTGGAGGAGACGAGGATGTCGATGCTAAGACCCAAACAACGGAGGGCAAGAAATCCAGGCCATTGGCCGCTGTCGAGAAGGCGAACCGTCGGGCCGGTGTGGTGTCTGTGGAGGTAATCCCTACCAACGAGGCATCCGATGTTGGCGAGACCACTGCTGCCATCGAGGAGATTCAGCCCCTTGAGTCGAATCTTGAGACCGAGACAGACGGTGACTCATCTGGTACAGCAGACATGGCCAAGAAATTCAAGTCTTTCATCAATAGCATTTTCGATAAGTCCAGCAATCGGAAAAGCCACGGCGTTAAACAAGAGGCCTCGTTGTGCATTGTGTATTCTCGTCCCTTGCTTATACACAAATGACATTCACAGTGAATGATTCACTAGCCCTATGCGAATCTTAGCGCTAAGGACTTTATATATTCATTTATTATGTTGAATAAGCTTCTACAAAGTCTTGTACTTTGCGTTAACTCCTAATCATTAAACTTTCGGAACAAGAGGGAGATCACACTGTTAGAGGAATGTTGAGAGCAACTTTTTAGTCCTTCAAGTTTATAGTGTTCTGCCAAGGCCTCCTACCTTGTTTGTTTGTGCGTCTGCGTCTGCGTCTGCGTGCCAACTTGCACGCGTATATAGCTGTGGTATTAGCCTCATTGTAGCACGATCCATATTGTAGAGATTGGTACAGTATCCATCCTGGCCCAAATTCTGCCTTGTTGGGTTCAGTCAATGTCTACCAACCCTCAAGCGAGCGGGCTACCTGCCGTTAACACTATACATGGGCAGAATTACGTTACGGACCATTACGGCTCACTTTTACGGTTACGCTTCAAGCTCCGTACCGTAAAATTACGGCGCCATAACGGGTCTCACGGAGATGGAGAGGACAAAACGAGGATTGGCCATTCATGTTGCCTAAATCTATTTCATGTGAATGCGAATCCGTAGATGAGGCCGGCTTGGCAGTTCCGGGCCAGCCTGGGAGTGAGACGGACGGAATTTGCAAAGGAGACGAGTGGCAAATGCGAAACCAAATGTTACTCTCTCAGCGGTTCGGTTGAATCCAAGCCACGAGAAATGAGCTTAACAACTATTTGAGCTATGGAGGAGTGCATTACAGCGAATTTTTCCGCCACAATTCTAAAAAAGCAGTTCAGCACCAACCGTGAAGTCGTGAGGCCTTTCCGTAACCCGTAAACTGCTTACGTTACGCACGCCGTAACTTAGACCGTAAAAAAACGTTACGCTGCCCATCTATAGTTAACACACTCACTGTTCTGACAATCCCAAGAGTTCCTCTAACTACGTTCACTGAAGCTTTCCTGGGAAACACTTGAAGGCTTAGCTGAGGTCACTATTGAGAGTATGGGTCTCTATGACTTTGAACTGCGTTATCGTGGCAACTAGTGGGAACTCCATCTTGACTATCGCGCGGAGAAGGCCTGAAACGTCGAGCTCGAGATTGCGTGTTTACTCGCATGAAGGGTGTATTGCATGTGACAGCTCTGATCCATATTTGGTGTGTGAATGAGGATATGATGTTATACATTTTTTCTTGCTACTTTATTACAGCAAATTGCTGTAATAAAGTAGCAAGAAAAAATGCTGTCAGCAATTCAACAGAGAGAGACAACATTGGGTCACAACTGATGTTCAAAGTCTGACCGCAGTCGAAATCGGCAACGACTTGGAGTTCATTCGTTGAGGCCATTTAGATCGGCGAAGCAAGCATAACATCGATAGCATTTGAGACGGTGGGACACGATAAAACAGAAAATCACAACACGACAAGGCTTGTGGTAAAGATAATCTTCATCGTTTGCTTGACGATCAGCCTGTGACCGCTTCAGCCGTTTCGTCTAACGCGACCTCATCAACGGCATTGAAATCGCGCAGCACCGAAGCTAATGGGACGGTCTCATTGAGACCTTACCTGCTGGATGACAGATACGCTCAGACTATCAGCCACGGGGTTGCCTTGGCCGACAGAGTGTAGCATTAGTCACCGCGGTGAGTTTGTCGGACGAACCCATCCCCTGTAGGAGTCGTCACTAGGCGACAATGCGCTGACCCAGCGCCGCTGAGACTTTGTCTCGGGATGTGCTCGTTCAGCCATACATGTTGTATTGGTCCTATTAGTACAAACCCTCGAGGCTCAATTATTATTTTCGTTTGCTAATTACTCTGTCTTGTGTGATTCACAGTGTGAACTCGTTGAAGAAAATAATCAATCTCAATCTGGTTCTGCCCGACTGGTTGAATTTCTTCCTCGCGGTTGACATATTGTCCTTTCCCAACAATTCCGAATGGTTATGCCAACTTCACTTTGCCAACCGCTTGTTGGTTTCAGACTGTAGCTGGCGTGCGAGCCTTGGAGCTCGCGTACGTGGGCGTGCGCTGGTGGCGCAAGTAACGCGGCGCTACGGCAGCTAGGGCGTGCGACATGTGCTGGGTGACGTGACGTAACTTGGTCAGCACGTCCCTCTAACCAGGAGCCCGTTCAAGTGCTCAATCGTTCCGAGTTCCGACTCTTATTAACTAGCTCCGAGTTCCGAGTCCCCCGAATCCGAGTGCATCTCTGTTCAAGTGCAACAGCTCGGAATTTCCGAGTCGGAAAGGAGGGTATTCCGAGATGACTGGCCGAGCAACCAATACTACGACCCTAGGACAACAACAGTAAGCGCACTACCTGCACTTAGATTCTGCACGAATACCACACTATGCTCAGCACAGTAATCGATATAGGGCTCATTCGCTATAAAGAGGAAGGCGAATGAGATAACAAGGGTGCAGGCAAACTGGACCCACAACACGCGGCGCGACACCAAATCACGTGTGCATTACACGTGACTTGGTGACGCAGCGTCACCACCGCTTAATTGAGCGTCAGTGACGCCCAATCGAGTCGCCGGGTAATTGACGGACATCGTCAAATGATGTTGAAAGTAGCTACGTCGAATCGACAGTGCCGATAGTTAGTACCACAAGGCTTTCTCGACGGAGTGGCAGGACTCGCTAGATGCCACGTGTTCAGCGTCGCTATGGTCCCGCTCGCTCCATAACTATCATATCGGGCTTCTCACCACGATATCAGTTATTTCACCATCCTAGATGTTCTCCCGTGCCGCCGTAGTAACTCTTCTATCTCTAGCCTACGCGGGTCGGCCATCTTGTGGACCCGATGCCTGCGTGGGCTTCATATTCACTGGTGGATTCCGCTGTGACTGGGAGACTGGGAAGTGTTCATGCGGTCCAGGGGGTCTAACTCCGACCGACGTGAACTGCGCTTGTTGAATCAACAAGCAACAATGTTGATAAGACATCGAGTTGAGAGAGATATGATGTAACCTATCATTACAACTTCATCGATGAGTGCTTCATTTCTGCTGTCTTGACCCTGTTCGTTCGAGAGCCACCACCTCACCGTTCTCCCCTGGCAGGGGACCCCTGCGGGTGTGGTAGCTCTTTTATTCTTGATCCAGTATCTGATGTTTCCGCATCAGATTGGTTGATACCGACTGCGCCTCACAGAACATTGAGCTGGATGGAAACCATTCTTCTTGGTAGTGCTCTTACGAGGACGTTAACTTCACGCATGAGCACTGCACCTGGTGGTGAGCTTATTTAGTCAAGTAGTATAGTAGTCGAGTAGTTAGCTTCAGTCAAGTAGTATATCCAACAAAATGATTCAGAGGCGGTTCGAAGTCAAGTATGCTGCCTATTATACACATAGAACAATGATTTCACCAAAATGTGATTACGCTGTTATGTTCACCTAATTTGTAGCAAATCTACAAATAGGAGTGCTATTGAACACCAATGGGAGTCGATATGCGATTGTAAGCGCCGCGTGCAGACATATGAGCGTATTATGTCTGTCGATGACAATTCATCATATCATAACGCCCGCGTATTATCCTACAGACCAAATTGAGGCTGTATGACCGTCATACTATGACGATGTTTGAGATACTGTCTCAGACTTAAACATGCGCGAACATTTGCGTTGAGTGTTGGGCAACCACATGGCTGAACCGTTTCCCTGCATGATGAAAGTAGCGGAGGGCACAAGGCGAGCCGCGATGATATCAACGCGAGCAGTGTCTCAATCGCCGAGTCGATTTGATTTGATTCGATTTGATCCTCGCGTATGTCTTCGGAAGCCAATTAAAGTGCTCACCTCTCCGAGTCCGAGAATTCGGACGAGCAGACTTCCCAGGCTCGAAACAATCTCGTGCATTAAAGTGCTCCTACTCTCCGAGGGCCGAGTCCGAGTACTCGGAGCGACACTCGGACTTGAGAATTCCGTCTTGGGCTACCTCTATTCGGAGGTTCCCATTAAAGTGTGAATAATCCGCGCTCTGAGTAGCACACTTTTCTGAAGCCCTCAAGCTCTTTGCGCGATGTGGCGGCCCATTCGCAGACATAGACAAGAATCCACTAAGCGAGCTAAGTTGTTGCCTGAAGATCAGCCTCAGGTTCAGCAAATCACCAAAGATCTCAAGGCCTGCCCATCGAGCGAGATCCACGACTCTCTCTCCCTCAGTGTGTTGTGGACGATGAGAAGTACTTCGCAAAGTTGAAGGCGTACGGTACGCCGCGTACCTGCGGTCATCATTCAACATCGATGCTCTGGGAGCACCTTTTGTCTCACCTATGAACCATACCTTCTTCATTGTCACAAGATTAGATGATAATCTGACTGAGTCTATCCACTCAGTAAGTTTTACACGTGCCGGTATAAATAGGGCTAGACTTAAATCAAGCAAACAAGTGCGAGACTTCCTGCTCAAGCAGTCACTGCTTGAGTTTGCAATGTTTACATTATGCAAACACTGTTACAGATGTAAACATTGACTAGTAGTAGTGGACCTAGTAGTAGTGGCACCAGTAGTTGTAGTTTCAGTATCTGCAAGGGAGAAATATTGCGACAATGCGAGGAAGAATTAAGGCCTGACTTAGCATCTAGTTGTCTTCACTTAGCAGAGTACGATTGTACCCTGCCAATGCCATCAACATCGATTCACTCAGTCCCTCTTGAACTCCCTCTTCTCTTCCATATCTCCTCCATTTGAGCTGGCGGGCTCGCCTGGATTGGTGATTTCCATTGTCGTTGTAGTTGTTGTAACCATGGTTGTTGTTGAAGTAGTAACCACGTTTCGGCATCGTGAACAGAACCAATGATGATGAAGAAAATACCTGCAATGAATGATGACACGACATACAGTCATTCCAGATCAACCAGGTTGATTGAGCACGTCGCATTGGAGAGGCTGGTAAACAGCATGCGCTCTGCTGTTTAGTCTATCAAGAGTGGTCATGGTTGCGCCGTATCTTTCTCGCACAACAAGGGAGCGTCTAATAAGAGAGCGGACTACCTGAATCGAGCCCGCGCGACGATTCCAGAAATGGATCGCCTCGGCGACAGAACTCCAAAGAAGGAAACTCGTCAGTCGAAAGAAGTAGTCATGGTCATTTCATCTCCTGGAGAACTGACCGCGTCTGATGGGGTACATGATCATTATCACGGACTGAGTCGTATTCCTCTGCTGGACATGCAACTTGCATGTCCA